TTTTAAGAGATCACAAATAGGATTCTGTGTCTATATTTATCCCATCCGCATTTCCCTAGCTTCAACTTTTATCTTTCCCCACACAACCACCAAATCCATCATTCTGACTTTTTTTTTTTTTTTTTTCCCTTCTTAAACTTAGACTAGGCAAATTCATATGGAAGTATTAAGGATCTCAGATAGTTAAAACAATTTTTCACCTCATGAATCTTTAGACTAGAGCTGGGGTGGTGGTGGAAGGTGTCCTAAAAGGAGATAAAGGAAAACACTTTATTATGTATAGTTTCAAGACTGATCTAAACATTAAAATACAATTTACAGGTCTTTATTCAATTGAAATAAAAGGAACTATCAGTGCCAGATGTCATGTGTGATGTTACATACTTATACATTTTCTTTCTTCTGTTCAGTAAAGTACCATGTATATTGTATGCTCTTAGGATTAGGTTTCCAGTCCTGTCTTTACAGTAATTAATTATTTGGGCATTTCACTTAAAATTTCTTATTATAAATTCTTTCCTTTGTGAATTTAATACATTAGATGAAATACTCTTTTTAAAACTAAAGTGATATGATTCTGCTTGGACATAATATGTTGATGCTTATGAAAATACTGTTACTCAGATATTAATGTAATTATGTAATGTGTTAATATCAGTGTCATTTTATATTATACATGATATATTTTGAAATATACTGTATTTTCCATTTTATTTAATACATATTTACAACTATGCCTACATACTGGCGATGAGATTAAATCTAAACACACTAACATGAAATAGTATTAGCATGCTTTTTTCCCCCATATTTAAATAATATACAGGTTTTTACTCTCATGATTAGAAAATATAACCAGAATTGTAAATGTAGGACAAAGATATCACTGCTTGTTTCTCTAGAATACTAATTTTAGAATACTAATTGATAGCATTTTTCCTTATTAGCCTGGACTCAGACCTGAGTAGTCCTTAGTCAGACACTGCTGACAGCTGCCAACACTCTTCAATCACAAGTGGACCATTATTTGAAATCTCTTCTCTCACCCTGAAATATAAGACCATTATAGAAAATTTAGAATGTAGAATAATATAAACAAAGCCACAGTATTTCATCATTCAGACATACTTACTGTTACCATTTTATTCTTGTATTTTTATATAAAAAACTTCATTTAGAATTATAAAATGGTATTTGAACTTCTAATTTTAAACTTGATTGTGAAATATTTTCAATCAGTCAACTTGAAAAATATAGCATATGGTAGAAAAACCATCCAGATTTAATGAGTATTATTATTTGACAGATACACTTTAGATTATTTTAAAGGGAGAAAAATGTGACAGATATTTCCAACTTCCATATTTAAACCATTTTCTTTCCCATCACAGTAATTATCATGATAAAATTTTGTATGTCACTTTTCTTTCTCTAGACTTATTCTATAAAATCTATTTATGACAATAGTCTCATAGGGCATCATCTTATAATTTGGAAATACTTCTATAATTGATATCATATAGTACCCTAATTTGAACTTACTTTTTTAATGTAGTTTTTCCAATTAAACTGGTTTACATTTGCCTCCCAGTGAACAAATTTGAAAATTTCTTCATGTATAAAGGAATAAAAAAATAGATGTTAGTTTATATAGTAAACATGTTTATACTTCTGTGAGGCCATCATCTCAATCAAGATAATGAACATAGCCATCATAAAAATAAAAATAATAAATAAAAATAATTACATATACAATTAAAAAGAATGAACATAACCATTGTCTCTAAAAGTTCCTTCGTGACCCTGGTAATCCTTTCTTTCTCTTCCTTCCTCATTTCCATTCTCTCTCAACCACTCATTGGCTTCTGTAACTGTAATAAGTGTAAATTTTCTGGAATTATATATAAATGGAAACATATAATATGAATTCTTTTTTGTCAGGCTTCTTTCAGCATAATTATTTTGAGATGTTATTGTGTGCATCGATAGTTCATTTCGATGTGCATCAGTCACTTGTCACAGCAGTCTACTTGATTTACTGTTATATCACCTTTTAAGAAGTTGACTACCAGATATTTTTATTTTCACATCTCATTATTTGTATCATTATCATCTTGAATTTTACTTCTACATATGTTCTATATCTGATAACATTGTTATTAGTGCATAAACGGTGAATTTTAAAAATATATTAATAAAACACAAAAATAGCCTTTCAGATTTACTTATATATTTAATCTTTTCATCTTGTTTTATTACTTATATAAATTCACATAACATTTATTACGAAGATTTCTCCTTAATATCTTTATAGTACAGTTACACTTTTAGTTTTCCTACTTTGAAGGATATACAGTTGTAGGTTAAAAGTTTTTCTTTCAGAACTTTATGTCATCCTATTGCCTTCAGTCTTACATTATTTCTAATGAACATTTATTGGATAGTCTTATTATTTCCTTTCCTCTGATGAGATCTTAATATTTTGTTTATATTTGTTTTTAGTAATTTCACAATAACGTGCTTAGATTTTTGTTTATGTTTGTGTTTTTTTGAGAGTCTTTTCGGGTGTGATTTTGTTCTGCAAATCTGAAAAACTACTGGCCCTTAGTATAACTTTTTAACCCAATCTCTCTCTTCTTTATCTTTTGGGACTCCAATTATACATTTATTTTACCATTTGAGATTATCCCACATTTACTGAAATTCTCTTTATTTTTAAAATTATTTTTGCTGCAGTATTTTATCTCTGTACTTTAATTGGGGTAATTTATTTTAAACAATCCTTAAAGCCAATGTATTTTCTTCTGTGGCATTCGATCTTTTGACAAAACCATACTGTTGTTTTGTTTTTAATTTCGGGTATTATATTTTCAATTGTGGGAGTTTTATTCTGTTATTTTTGAGTTTCTATTTCTTTGTTGCGTTTTACCATGTGGTCACTGGAATAGTCAATTTAGTCAATGAACATCAGTAACTGGTAAACTTTTAAAAGAAAGGGTGACTAGGAAATGCATAATACATGATCCACTGACAATATATGAATCTACTAATGAGTCTTAGAAACAAAAACAACTTCAACACTAAAAACAAAATGTGAAAAACTAGGTATTTTATGCATCCAGATATCATACAATAGGAAGTAGAGAACATCAACTGTGAGAATTTTCGAAAAATATTTAAAATTGCATCTAAGCAAGACTCTACTAATTAATAGGAAATAAAGAAACATATTAAATTACACTATGGGATACAGTTAGCAACACACATAATGCAGGAAACTCTATGGGATAAATAACCTTGTTTGTCCAATACATGAACAAAAGGAAAAATTAAGTTTAGAGTGATGAAACCTATGGACCAAATGAGACTTAAGGAATGTGTTAACAACCTGCATCATTTAGATATAGTAGAATCCTGAATCAAAGATGTTTGAATATTTTTAAATTGAACACTAGTTAGATATTTGATTACACTGAAGATTTATTCTTGATTTTTAATACTCTATTTTTATTTTTAGAAAGATACATACACACAGATATGTAATATTTGTGCCCAAGTAGGTGTGTGTGTGTGTGTGTGTGTCTGTTATTGAATGGTTAAAATGATATGACATGTGAAAATTGTTTTAATATCAGAAATTGGGTATATACATGGATGAAACAAGATTGTCCAAGCTATGATAGTTTTGAAGTTGAGTAATGGAATAGAGATGTTTCTTATACTATTTTCTCTATTTCTAGATGTATGTAAATATCATAATATAAATTTAACAAGAATGTTATTTGCCCAACATTATAAATGTACTTGTCACTGTTAGTGATAGTTTCCCAAATTTATACAAGATATTTTTTATAAAGGAAACTGCACTTGTTCCAAATGATTTTGTTATTCACTAGGTATCAAAAATGCATATTTAACAATTTCTAAACAGACATATTTGAATTTCAGATATTCAACATATGTATGAAATTTGTCTTTAATTTTCACCTCAGCTGAATTTCTCCATGCCCGTCATTAAGTATACTTGCAACAAAGGATGCATCTGCTGGAAAGAAGTGTGAGGGACAGTACAACCCCATTTCTGACAGCGTGTGCTTTAACACTCTTGCTATTGGGGGTCGAAGGCCTAAAACATCTCTCAGAGGACGTTCAAAATATGTGAGGATTCGAAACAAGATCATAGAGAAAACTCCTAACAGAAATAGGGACATTATGGCTTTCCTTTTGTTTATGGAGTTAAACTCTGTTGTAGATCTGACAAAATTGTTTTTCTTAGTGATTCTTGAACAAACAAATCCAGTTTGGTCATATGGAGGGTGCTAGGTAGGTGTGGAAAAATACAAAGCTGTTCAATGAAATATAAGGGTGAGAATGCCAGTCATTTAAGAGAGAGATGAATTGTCATTTTGTTTATTTAATACTACATAAAACAATAGTTTAGAAAATTGTATGATAAAATATATTTCTATTAAAAATGAAATGAAATATCACATTTTCCCCTCCTGGCCTGAATGTTGCTTTAATGGGATAGTTTTGTTGTTATTGTTGTTGTTGTTGTTATTGTTTTACTGAGATAAAATGGGAGAAGTAAGTAGATTAAAAAAAAGTATTTCAGTGTCAGCTGTCAGTCAGGGAGATTGTCAGAGCAGCTTTCAACCTTCAGACAGATTTGACTACAGATTAAAATGGACAGCGCCTCGGCAGAAATTTATAAGTATTTCATTCAAATTATTGCAAAGCTACAAAATACAATTAACTAGCTTAACTGAAAGATAAATGTATATTTTTGTTTCATTTGTATAGATACAAAAGTCGCATCATTTCTTTAGCAGTTACATGAGAAAATGTTATTTTTAAAATGTCAAATTTTGTTTTGTTTCTCATTCTTTAGGAATATGAAAGACACTTAAGAGTTTGAATAGATTATAAAGGAGCCTACGGTTTCTGTTTGCAGCACACCCGTTCCTCTGAAGAGTATCAGCCGGAATCAAAAGAGAAGAATGAATGGTTCCTTGTTGCTGCCTTTCATGCTGGGGATTCCTCTCCTATGGCCTTGCTTCACAGCGACGGAAAACCCTAAAACAGAGGAAGTTAAGCACCCAGCGGGGTCTCATTTGAGAATGAAGCGTGGCTGGGTGTGGAACCAGTTTTTTGTACCAGAGGAAATGAATAAGAGTAGTCATCACATTGGCCAGGTACTGATTTTCTGAGAATGTTGCAGGAAATAATGTTGTATAAATCTAAATGAACGAGTTGAGGAAGTTGTGGTATTTGACGAATTCTACATTTTCCCAGGAAAACCATTAGAAAGCTTCAGATACCAGCAAAATTAATTGTTTCAGACTCACAGGCACCTGAAATAGACACAAAAACTTGAGGAGGAGGAACAGCTCTTGTTTTCAAATTTCACTTTAGTCCCCCATATAAAAACGCTGCCCTCATTACAGACATCTGGAAATTTGACAGTGTTATTTTTGGTAATGGATCAAAGCAATAATGTAACTAACGGTAGTTAGCCTCATTTTCTATTATGCTAAATAGGTGTTGATTTACCCCTCATTAATTTTTAATGAAGCAGATTAATACCAAATCATTTTACAGTTAAGCAGCTTCAAGAACCTACATACTTCATTTGATTAGTGAAGTTGAAGTATAAAGAATAACTATTTTCACTTTTTCATAAGAATATATTTTAAGAAAATTTCCTTAATGAGAAAGACTATTTCCTATTTACGTTTTTGGTTTTTATTATTATTTGATTTTCTTTAAATGGAGGTAATTATAATAGCATGTCCTTTTCTTTAAAGCTTTCTCTAGACGAATGAACTGAACTAAGTTTCACTGTTAATTAACTGACACTAATATTTAATTGGGCCCAAAGGGTGAAGCACTCAAAATTCATTACTTCTTTTTCTAGCCCTTTTGGGAGGGCCGCAGTGTTAGCCTGATGTCCTGATGCCATAGGCATGCGTCTATCCTATCATCCAAATGGATATGAGTACATTCAACTGAAGGCTTAGAGGAGGATCTCAGGCAAACATTTAAAAAGTGTGTGTGTGTGCGTGCGCATGCGTGTGTGTGTACATGTGCATGTGTGTGTGGGTGCCTGCTGTAATAGTTTTCATCCCTTTTCATTTCCTAAGATGATGGCAGGTGAATCACGAGCAGAATGCCATAAACGAAGTCCATAGTTAAGTATCTGCTACGTAACTGAGTCTCTCTAGCCACATGGACAGTGGACTTCACAGAGTACCGTATGCTCTTCCATCACTGAATTGGGTGAAAGGCTAACGTGGGCTGGTGACTTCTAGTGAATAAGGCTCTGCAGGGAAGCACATCAGTGCAATCAGTACAGGGACTATCATCCTGGCTAACTCACATTTTCTAGTTTTGTTTTACTGCTCACTACACAAATCTCCTGTTTCTTCCATTCACATAGCTTTGCCTGTTTTTTCATTCTGTAAAAATATTTCTGAAAATACTTGACCAGATATTTTCCCTCTAAACAACCTCATTAGGCTCAAATAACATAGAGATAACTGTTTTAAAAGAGAGTGATGATGAATGTTTAGGTGCTTATATTTAAATAGCCGGTAAAATTAAAGAGTAACAGATGTGTCCAAGATAAATTTCTTCTTGACTTATTTGTTAAAAGAGGTTGAGTTTGTTGATCAGAATTAAGTAAAAATTTAAAGTCATATTGATTTGCCAAATTGATAATAACTGCTTAAGAGAATAGTTTTGAATAGAAATAGAGGAAATTTTATAATACTAGAATCCATGAAATTGAAATGTGTATAACTTATATATTTTGAGTCATTAAGAAGCAGATATTCAAAAAATATGTTTTTTGCTTTTTTTAACTTAAATCTGGGTCCTTAAAAAGATCAAGCTCACTGATTTCTAAAAATTACACTGTGAATACACTTGAAATACACATATTCATTACTAAATTTGACTTATCTTCATTCTGTTATTGAGACAAATTTTAAAACATCGAAATGCTACTTGAAAACCACAAGCCATACTTTGTTTTCATTTGATATGTTTATTTAAGAGGATATTTGTTTTCCTTAATTTCTTATCATTAGTTCATAGAGACTCTTTATTTTAAGAGTAATGAAGGATTAGCAAATTAAAAGAGCTATAGCTCTTATCATCTTTTTTATTATTAGTCTCAGTTTATTTCTTTTATTGCATAGAAGTGATATTCAACACATTATTAAAATTAGCTGTTTATAGATAAATTCAGATATTCTCCCCATTCACAAAAAGCAATTTATTAACTAGTCCAGAATAACACATTTTACCTTGAACTATCAGAAAAGTTATGAATTTAAGATTGTATTTTTTGGTTAACTTTGTAAATTTTTGGAGAAGCCCTTACTTTGAAGAAGGGCGTAATTGTAAGTGATAAATCAAGGATACTATGGAACTTATGGCATGCTCCCTCTCTTTATGTAACAATAACTTAAACATGGAAAAAAACACATAACCAATGTTATTTTTATCATAATAATCCTTGTTTTTATATATATAAAATTCAAAATTACATCAACACTATGAATGATGAACAGATTTACTTTGCTTTTAAAAAATAAAAATAATGAGAACACAAGAAGAAAAGGTATATTTGAGAATTGAATAGAATATACCTGGTATAGATTTTAATCTTAAAGTTATTATTATACTGTATTTAATATACCATAGGAATTATATGAAATTATTAACTTGGGGAATAAGGAACAGACATGAAAATAAAGTCATCGAAATTGACTTGTCCATTTTGACATGTTTGGAAACTAAATCATCCCTCTTTGCATCTTCAGCTGAGATCTGATATAGACAAAGGAAACAACTCTTTCCAGTACAAGCTTTTGGGAGCTGGAGCCGGAAGTGTTTTTGTCATTGATGAAAGAACAGGTGACATATATGCCGTACAGAAGCTCGATAGAGAGGAACAGTCCCTCTATACTCTAAGAGCCCAGGTAATAGACACCACTACTGGAAAGGCTGTGGAACCTGAGTCCGAATTTGTCATCAGGGTTTCGGATGTCAATGACAATGAACCAAAATTCCTGGATGAACCTTATGAGGCCGTTGTACCAGAGATGTCACCAGAAGGTATTGCATATGAACTTACATCAAACATATATGAACAATGAGAACAGATTTCAGATTTTGAGCATAACAAGTGAATTATTTAAAGTTCTATATTTGTACTTCCTTCTACAAACATGTTAAGTAAAATATTTGAAAAATTAAACTATTATTATGATTTTGTCAACAATGATAGTATATATTAACATATTATTTGTCTCATTAAAATATAATCTGTCTTCAAAGCAATAGAGAAAAGGATAAACATGTTAATTTGAGTGATCTATAAAATTTTTTAGCTTGTTCTCTTACTAGTTTCTTCAATATAAGAATTTATTTTTGAAGGCAAAGTATACTTTTCTATTCTAAAAAACACATAAGATACCTATGTAAAAATAGAAAAACCAATTTATAAGACAAAACTACTCTATGCATCAAAATCATGGCACATGAAGATAAAACAAAATAAATTGGTTAAATATCTCTATTTAGCCATATTCATTTTAAAGTTTTTTTTTCAAACCCAGTGTTACTTTTATAAGTATTTTAAATATAATACATGTAGAAGAGAATACTTTCCATAAGATAAGAATTGACAGCCTTGGGAATCAGAAGTATCTTCCCAGGAGAGAAAAAATTACAGTACATCTATGCAAAATTTGTCCACGCACTCACTGAGTCAGAAAATTTTGATAACACAATATATAGCAAAATTTAATTAATAAAATTTACTTATGTATGCTAAATGTGATTTGATAACGATCATTTAAAATTTTGCCTTCTGCTTAAAAACTATTTTACCGAAACTTGTGATTCATTAGCATGTGAATCTAAAAATGCATATTCCATTGTGTATTTTCCCGATTCTTTGTTTTTAACATTCTAGATAGCGGTTTAAAGACCTCTTTCTACATATGTTCAGAACATAGGTTTTTACAGCATAAACAATTTAGCTGTGTAATATATATTAAAACCAATTATTATTAGACTTAAATGACACTTTAATATTGTTCTATGTGGCAGGCAATGAACCATTTCTTCTTCCTCTTCTCTCCTCTTCCTCATCCTGTTTCTTCAGCAAATGTATATTATGGATCTAACATGTTCTAGGAACTTTTCTTTGAAACTAGAGATTCGGTTGTAAAGGTTATATATGAGGTAATTACTAGAATGGAACTTATGTTTTAGTTATAACACACAAACAATAAATAACTATATTAATAAATAAGGTAATATTTGATACCGTAAGTCACGAAAGTATCAAGGATGGCAAAGTATGATAATGATTAATTGACTCGGGGAAGTGGGAACATTTTAGGAGGTGATATTTGAAGGGAATGATACAAAGAGGCCTGTCATGCCATGTTCTGGAAACATACTCCCCTCGCAGGGGATGAGGGTTGCGTTATGAATGTGGGAGTTATTGGCACGTGGTAAGCATGTGGACATGGCAATGGATGAAATTCCCTCAGTGGAGAATGAGGGTAGAGAAAGGACAAGCATGCACGGTGACCAGACTGTTAAAGCAAATTAGCATGAATGGGGTAGGCCAGTGATGTAGGAAGCAGAGAGGGGCACAGAAGAGAGATTGCACAAGATCTTCCGACTGTGTGGAATGCTGCGTGAGGTGGCATCGAGTTAAAACTGAGCAGTGACTTTTGGTTTAGCAAGCCTAGGGTCCCCAGTGATTTCGATAAGAGCAATTTGGTCGAATCTAACTGCAGCATATTGGAGATTATCCTATTGTATGAATGGAAGGAGAAGAGGAGGTGACAATTAATTTAGCCAGGTTTAAAAGATGTTATGCTACGTGGAGAAAATAGAGATGCAGGGTACTAAGTAGAGGGAGATGAAGGTAAAAGGGACTTTTTTTAATCATTATTTACTCATTTATTAAGATGGGGAATTTAATCGTGGAATTTAATTGAATGATCCAAACGTGCATTTTTGAAGCAAAATAAGAGAGCTATAACTGCTGGAAAGCTGTTGCTAAGAGAAAGAGCCATTGAGTCCAGGGCAGTAGTAGAGGGGACATGTTCAGGTAGGATAGCACATTGGTTGACAATAAACCAGTTAATAAGTGGTTGTTTCCATTTTATCAGTGATTTATGAGTCAAAGGCAGTAACTGAAAGCAGAGGGCTGGGATTTTAACTGGAGCAGAGGAGGGTACAAAACAACCATTGTGCAAAATTGGAGAATGAACCCACAAGGAGACTGTAGTGTGTATAATATGGCATTTGTATCACGGCACCAAGTATAGCATGACACCAACTGTGATTAATTTGGTAAAGATCCCAAAACATTGGTCTGTAACATATTTGGCTCCCACCGATGTCTTTATGCTTTGCCATTAGAGGTAGCTGTACATATTAACCTAGTCAATCTGTGTAATTTAATACATCCTGTGGAAGCGCCTCAGAGATCAGGCTTTGTATGGACTCATATGAAAATCAATGAGTACTTTTTATACCTGTCAGTGAGAGGAAGGGGTCAACAGAATGATGGTCAACTGCTTACAAATGTTATCTAATATGGAAATCATGGAATATCCCTATCACTCCCCATTTTGTAGATGGTTTCCCTCTGAAACATTCTTACAGTTATTAACTTCGCTTTGAAGAAACCAATTAATATTATATATGATTTTCTCTGTTCCCCTCAATCTCAATATTTAATTAATAAATAATGTGGATTCTTTCGCCTGAATATATCTTTAATTATTCATCTTCTTTCTACATCCATTGCCATTTAATAGGTTCTTGAGTGTTAATCTTGCTTCTGAATTCCCTACCCACCTATTTTATCTTTTAAAAGGCAACCAGTGCGTTTTATTCTCTGTTGTCTTCCTTAAATATATTTGTATTGTATTGGAGTCCACTACCAATTACATTTGAACCTGCACTTTGAACTTAGAATTTGGTAGACCACTGAAAGGAATCGACATTTAATGATAAATCCAAGACAGAGAAATCCAAGAAAACTACAAACTACTTGTTGTTTATTTAACAAATAATATTTATTTACAAGTAATGGGCTTTTACTGAGGACGTTTATATTTGAAATGCAGTTACTTTCAAGCCAGAACTATCAAGTGGAATTGAGATAAACATTATGTTTTCCCATTTGTCAGTCTGGATTTGCTAAGTTATTATCTTTCTTCTATACAGAAATATACGATCTAGCAGGCCAGGAATCACACAGTATCTGAGATTTGGAATGATTAAGTAAACAAATGAGTGTGTGGATGGATAAAAACACTACAAAAGTGATTAGATTGGTTTGGGAAATGAAGAGAAAATATTGATGTGGGTCTCAACCCAACCATAGGTGTGGGTTGAGACCCATAGTGACCCAAAGTGCTGCAGGCAGTCGCTAAAGAGTATTTCCTAATTCTGAAATTTCTCAGTGTACAATTTCTAGAAACATACTTAAATTTCTAGAAACATAAAACCTACCAAGACTGAATATGAAGAAATAGAATATCTGAGCAGACAGATGACTACTAATAAGGAGATTGCATCAGTAATAAAAAAAAAAAAACTTCACCAAAAACCAAAGTCCAGAACCAGATGGCTTCACTGGTGAATTCTACCAACCATTTAAAGAAGAATCAATACCAATACTTTTTAAACTTTTCCAAATATCTGAAGAGGTTGGAACACTCAAACTCATGCTATGAAGGCAGTATTACCTGACAGCAAACCAAATAAAGTCATCACGAGAAAACTACAGGTTATTATCCATAATGAATATAGATGCAAAAATTCTAAACAAAATTCTAGCAACACTAGTTCAATAGCACAGTAAAAGGATCATACATCATGATCAAATGAGATTTACACCTGAGCTGCAAGAATGTTTCAACATAAGCAAATCAAACATGATACACAACTTAAATAGAATAAAGGATAAAGATCATCTGATTCTCTCAACAGATACAGAAAAAAAAAATATTTGACAAAATTCAGCATTCTTTCATGAAAGCTCTTAGCAAATCAGATATATAAGTATCAAAGTTGAACATAATAAAGGCCATATATGACAAACCCACAGCCAACATCATACTCATCTGTGAAATGCTAAAAGCTTTTTCTCAATCAGAATGACAAGGATGCCCACTCTAACAACTTTTAGTCAATGTGGTACTGGAAGTCCTAGCCAGAGCGATACTCTGAGCCAAGAATACTCGATAGAGAAGATAATTTTTTTTCAATTAATGGTATTGAGAAAACTGGATATTCACGAATAAAATTGGACCCTTATTTTGCACTACTCACAGAAATTAACCTGAAATGAATTAAAGACTAAAAATAGGACCTGAAATTGTAAAAATACTAGAAGAAAACATAAGGAAAAATTTCCTTGACATTGGTGTCGGCAGTGATTATTTAGGCATGACCGAAAAATGGAATTAACGAAAACAAAAGTAAATAAGTTAGGCTACATCAAACTGAAAAATCTTCTGCACAGCAAAAGAAACAATTGACAAAATGAAGAGTCAACTTACAAAATGAGAGAAAATATTTCCAAAGCATCTATCAGTTAAGGAGCTAATAACCAAACTGTAGAAGGATCTTATACAACTCAATAACCAAATCAACAAACAAAATAAAAACAAATAATTAAAAATGGAAAGAGGACCTGCCTGAATAAGCATTTTTCTAAGGAAGACAACAGATAAAAATGGCCAACAGATACATGAAAAGATGCTAGGGATGTAATATATGATATACTTTTAATAGTACTGTATTATATACCTGGAAGTTGATGAAAGTAAATTCTAACCATTCTTACCAAAAAATAAATAAATAAAAATGCAATTACGTGTGATGTTGGAGCTGTTAACTAACATTATTGTGATTATTATTTCCCAGAATATACATGTATCGATAATCATGTTGTGCACCTTGAACTTACATACCATTACATGCCAATGATTAAAATAAAGGTGGAAAAAAAAGAAAATTCACTTTAAACATATTTATCATCAGTATGGAACAAATATGTCATATGTCAAATATGTAGAGCCATTATAAAAAAGAGATTAAATTCAATTTATGTAAAATACATACAGATTTAGATTATTTCAGTTTTTTATTTTATAAATTGTAACAAATATTAACATATAGCAGAGATTTCCCAGAAAAATTAAAATCTTTCTTAAAATATATCAAATATGAAAATTAGATTCTATGAAACATTCTTTTGCACACGTGAATTGAAAGCAATGAAGGTTGTTATGGATTACACTTCGTACCTTCTTTGAATATATTATTGTTTACTTTCTTAAACACGGTTTGATTTATTTGACTTAAATTCTCATATTATTAAAAGAGGTGTCAAAACTATAACCCAAGAATAATAAGGATGACCTAATTTTCAGGTGGTTGTGGACAAAAAACCACAAATATTTGAAAAATACTTTAGACATTTCAGGTGATGAATGGGACAGTCAATACCTGTGAATGAATAATAATCCTTGTACTAATAAAATAAGTTATCAGTGTGAAGGAATAAGCAGATATGCTGACTGATTAAACCATTATTTCCATCATGAATTTGATTTCTGAAAATTATATTTTTACTAGATTATCTAATATCTTAAATCTGTTTTTGTTGTTACCAAAATCACTGTAGGTCAAAATAATGTCATTTAATTTGTGCTGTTTTTGAATTTGACCATTATATAACTCAACATCCTCTCAATAAATTCATTTCAGATTAATCAAAGTTTACTTGTACTAAAATGACCTGTAAAAATAGCATTCTTATTAGACAATTTTATCTTAATTCTAAGAAGAGCCTGTTAATATTTTTACTACTTAATTTAAAACAAAAAAAATTACATACCATTTTTTTTCTTGATGATTTCCTTTGCTATTGGGAAAAGGAAGAGGAGGGGCTAGATAAGGGTAAACGGGGTCAAATATATTGTGACAGAGGAGATTTGACTTTAGGTGGTGTGCATGCAACACAATATAGATGGACAATTGAATTGTACACTTGAAACCTATATAATTTTATTAACCAAAGTCACCTTAATAAGTTTTAAAAAAAATAAAATGAAAATGAAAATAAACTACATACTAAATTAAATGAATCATTTTGAAATCTAGAGTTCAAATGTTGGCATTCAAGCACTATATTAAACTATAGCATGCTGTTTAGTTAGTATTCTATAACAAATGTAAACTTTACATGCAAAATGTTCTTGCCACAGGTTGCTGACTTCTCTTTTGCTTATGTGATATCGAAATTGGTCTGCATATCAAAATTTATCATTTACATTTTTATGTTTGGACACTTCTCATAATCACTGGAAGATAAAGCATTCTGTGTGAAACATGAGACAACATTATCTAATATAATTTTGTTACTAATATTAAACAACATTTGGGTGAGAATTAGCAGTCCTCTGTAATACTCTCATTAATATTAAAATCTCTATAAATCAACATCGACAGAGTTACCTTATTTTTTCATTAGGTTTTACTTTTAGTGGGTGAATAGTTCTAATCTGTTGTGAACTCATATTGATGCTGTCAACAATGCTTTCAATCTTCAAAATTTTATGTAGTTTTATAAGTTTTAGCACTTATTAACATTACCACAGAAAGCATAATTTATATGAATTTCTCAGACATAATATAGACTTTCCCTTATATTAATATGACATTTCATTATAATTTTCTATCTGTGTCATAATAAATGAAAAAGCGTATCAACAAATGCAGATTCTGAGGCACTAAACTATGATTTTTCTCTTGAGCACCTGGTACAAATTTATGTCTTGTGTCATCTACATAAAAATATGTTATTGCATTATGGTGTCTGTGGTAAAATACATAAAGTCAAATATCATCTTAAATTTAATTTCATAAAGGCCTTTAGCAAAAGATAGTTTTAAAGTCTCAGAAGCTGGCTAAAAATACAAAACTGATTTTAAATTTGCAGTTATGAAAAAGTCTCTCGAGGGCAATATGGGCAAATGACATTAGCTTTCAATGTACTAATAGGACCTATGATTTAAGAGAATCTTTAGACAACAAGTGCAGTTGTTTGCACTTACAAATAATATGGCCATCTTTGACCAAGCTATAGTGACTCAGCTCAGAGATGCATGCTGACATGCAAACCCATCAATCCCCAAGAGAAGGCTTTTCCCACTCTCTGGTTTGCCTTCCTTGCTAACTCAATTTCAAGGATCTAGCTAATTTAAATATTTAAAAGTTGCCATCGGTTACCCAATTCTAATTACAGGATAGCATCTTAAGATGGAATAGTAAGGATAAAGGGTGAGGCAATTCTATATACACGTAATTGGGGTACTGCTTCTTCCCTTTATGTGTAACCCTGGGTGTTATCTTGCATTATCACAGTTGTTGTAACATAAAGTGATCCCATCTCCAGTTTTACCCAGGACAGCCCTAATTAATCCTATTTTATTTCTGGCATCTTGTTCTGGAAGCTTTTGTCCCTTATTTTGTTATTATTATTTTTAATATTATTAGTAGGTGCATTACAAAAAGCAGACTGAGCTTGGAGGACATCTACTTTTTACTTGCAGCTTCTTCCATGGGGTGTAAGAAATAGCATGTTAGATAATCTAAAGTTTTAATGCTAAGAATTTTTTTTTGGTCAACAGCTAACCATACAATTTTGACTATTGTTTCGGAAGCTAAATACAGGTAGTCTAGTTCTGGAAACTAGGGATGGGAAACCCTTATGGGAAGAAATGAAATGGAGACGAAATGAGGAATTGTAGAGGGAGTGAGTGGGTGTGTGCACACAAGAGTAGTTAAAAGACTGTCTTGCCTGATACAAACTGATAGAATTGATGATAATTGGAATAGCTCTTCACGATTGCTACAGAAATATATTAATTAATTAATTAATTAAGATATAATCGACATATCACACTGTGTAAGTTTAAGGTGTGACATGTATTGATTTGATACATTTATTTACTGCAATATGATTACCTCCATAGCATTAACTAGCATCTCTATCGGATCCCATAATTATCATTTCTTTTCTGTGATGGGACCTTTCAGATCTAGTCTCTTAGTAACTTTGAAGTTTATAATACGATGTATTTGACTAAAATCGCTATGTCATGCATTAGCTCTCCAGAACTTCTTCATCTTCTTATTGTAAGTTTGTACCCTTGATCAATATCTCCTCAGTTCTCCCACCTCCAGCCCCAGCCCTTGGTAACCAGGAATCTGCCCTCTGTTTCAATAAGTTTAGCTTCTTTAGATTCCACATATGTTATTATACAGTATACATACATATTTATATATATATTTTTTTTTTTGTATTGAACTTATCTGACTTAGCATAATGCTGTTAAGGTCCATCTATGTCATCACAAATGATTGGAAATGTATTTTAAAACACCTAAAACTAATGTGTCTACATTTTGAATGGTGGCATTTTGAGTGGTTGTACAGTATAAAACAGGTGTTAAATAACTAACATAAAAATAATAAGACAAAACAGCACATACATACAGTTAAGGGTCATGGTACAATTTCAACATTTTTATTACTGAAGAATCACATGTCTCTCTATTTTAGTGTCTCGGTTTATAAAATTTGATTGTAATGAAAAACTTATGATGCTAGTAGTAAAGAAAATCCCATAGGCTACTTGATTTTGTGCCACTCATGGTGCCATTCTTACTGAAACAGAATGTCATGTTTCAATAAATGCAGACTTTCTACAAGACCTGTAATGCTACATTCCATAAAGATAATTTAAAAGCTTAATACTTTAAGAAATATGTTTAATTTGAGCATTAACTTTTAATGTGTAAGTACATATTTTTCGTATTTTTATTAATTCTTGCCGAATTTTAATGAGAATGCTTACCTTATCAATATCTAGTAGATTTTGCTTTGCACTTAAAAAAATTCTTTGAACAGTGGGTATTTCATAGAAGAGAATTAAACAGGCAAAATATTTATGCCTATCCTCAAATTGATACTATTTCAAGCTTATTTAAATAATCTTTATTACTATTGTATCAACATTCTGCAATTTGGGGTGGGTACAGATCAGAATGTGAATTTTGAAGAAAAGTGTTTCCAATTAATTTTTGATTCCTCAGCTAATAACACACCTTTGAAACTACACACTGTAATGGATTGTTTAATAGGTTACATTTAATTATATCATAGACCTACATGTTTAAAATTCTAAATTGTCTATGAGAATTAGAGCTATTTTGTATGAGGTTATATTCTCTTGTCTATACAGAGAGATATTATATAGTTAGTTTTATAATTCAGAATGAGATGGACTGGTCTTCCATTGTATATCATCATCTTACTTGGTAAAGAAAGAATGCTTTACAGAACTGAATTCATCATTCAGTAGGACCACACTCTTAATTTCTTATAACTATATCTTTTATCTTCAGGAACATTAGTTATCCAGGTGACAGCAAGTGATGCTGATGATCCTTCAAGTGGCAATAACGCTCGTCTCCTGTACAGCTTACTACAAGGCCAACCATATTTCTCCATTGAACCAACAACAGGTATTTCTGAATGAAACAAAGTGCAATTCAACATGATTCTAAGTAGGCAAACGTAAGAACAAAAATTCTCAGCTTACAAGTATGTTGTGCAGCAGACCTGGTGTTATATAAATAAATAAATGGGTTTTAATTTTAAACATTTAATTCTTTTTAGTCTTTTAGATGATTTTTCTAAGGTTGAAAGATTGACTTTTACACACCCATACCACAAATGGTTTGTGTATGAGGTACAAAAAATATGTAACGGTTCTTGCAAATCAATTGGAAAGAGACAACCCAATTAAAAATATAAGGAGAAAAGACATTTCTAAGCAACTGAGTGAAAGTTGACATATGAAAAGCCTGCAGAAATGTTAAAAATGCTCACCTCATTAATCATCATGGAGATGCTAACTAAAAGACGCACCTGCAAGAAGACGCATCTGCAAATCCAGGCAGAATCACTGAGATAGAACATGGATTTAGGGCTCACTGTAGGCATTAGGAAGAGGCCTTCACCTTCAAAACATGTAGTTCTGTACTTTTTAGATAAAGAAAAAATTGATCTTTCTAAACTGACTTCCCCAATTTCCATTAGTCAATTGAATACTTTATAAAATAAATAAGATAAACATTTTTTCTCTTCTTTTCAATATGTCAATTGGATGCATAAGAATTATATGACACTAATTCATTTTACAAATAGTGATTGCCATGTTCAAAACGAAGATGGAACCCATATAAATCTTGCCTTTAAGAGCCCATAGACTCTAAAAATGGAAAAAGAAAACCTACCTAAGTACATAACCAACCATCAAGAATGTGGCAAGTTTCAAAAGAAGGAAACTTCTATGCCTTTTAATCAGGCAAATTATTATTTCCATCTTGGTGATGTGAAAAGCTTAAAAGAATTAGAGCATTTTGTTGGACCTTTAAACAATTCTTGTTGATTCATTCATTTAGCAAATATTAAATGTCTCAGCCATTCTCAGAGTTTCTTGAGAGAATCAGATGCTGAAAAATATGACTCCAGTTACTGTATTCTTGGTTCTCCCCAGGATGGTACTCAGCTTCTATCATTCCAGATGCACAGCACGAAAGCTGCTTTAATACATGCAGCGGATCCGCTAAGACATTAGGTTTTAATTCTCTCACACAATCTTGACTGAGAAGTGTCGTATGTGGTACAGGCATTTTACAACAACCTGGATTTAGAGTAGTATGACATGCAACCTTTAAAAAAATAATAACACAAACAAACAAATAAACAAAAAACATTAATATTCACATGAAGCATGTGAATATTAATAAATACATACACTCAGTTTGTCAATATATTGAGTGAAACAAACAAGATCTAGTAAGAGAAAGAAAGTGAGGACTACTTGGTATTATGTAGTCACACGCTAACACGCAGAGCTGAGCCTGTGGTCAAGGTGAAGAGAGTGGAAGAGCATTCAAGGTCATGGGAAGAATATATGAGAAATTCCTGAGATTTGAGAGCGTTGAGGCTCTTTAACCAGAGGCCAGTGTGAAAAAGCACAGAGGAGGAGGGTGGAAAGTTGGGTATCTGAGGAATGGACAGTTTGAATATCTGTGTATATATTTATTTCATTGTTAGGTTATAAATAACTGTGGGTCAACAACCAACCCTTGTTTCTCCATTGTGACTGAAAATAGACAAAATAGACATCATAGGTAGACAATATATTTTGCATAAATTTGGTATTGTAATTTATGCATTTACTTATAATAAACTAACTTCTTCCAAAGGGAAACATTACTTGTAGCACACTAATATTGAGGTTAAAAATAAGACATTCCTCTTCTCTACCTCTGGGTTATCTTAACATGGTATTTTATTAAGGGTCTGCTAGTGTTCTTAATATTGTGATGACACATTAAATACTAGGCAGAGTTGTTGTTTAATTTATTGTTATTATATTGTTTTTCTCCAGATTGGTGTCCTTATATTGGTTTGAAATTTGTCAAAAGAAAGTTTATATGGTTGAATTTTTAAGACATTAATTAGGAACATGCCATGGCGAATAATGAAAAAATAATTAAAGTTTATCACCTTTTTAAAGGAGTCATAAGAATATCTTCTATAATGGATAGAGAACTCCAAGATGAGTATTGGGTAATTATTCAAGCCAAAGACATGGTCGGCCTGCCTGGAGCACTGTCTGGAACAACAAGTGTGTTAATTAAACTCTCTGACATTAATGACAATAAACCCATATTTAAAGAAAGTAAGTAGAAAGCATCTTGAATTCTTACTGTATTTTGATTATATGCAGATGTTAGAATTCACATTCTAAAAGCACTGAAACAGCACTAAAATTATAGGAAATAAATCTGTCAGTTATTCTAAGGTGTGATTATTTTCATCAGTATGAAAAGTCAAATACGAAAATAATTAATGTGTCATTTTTCAGTTGCTTCTGTAACAAACCACCACAAACATAAAGTTTGTTTTTATGCCTTAACATAAAGTTATTATCTTAGAGATGTTGGCTGCCAGCCTCAGCAGGCCTGAAGTGAGACCAGCAAAACGTGTCTGCAGGGCTGCATTCCTTTCTCTGGGCTCTAGTGGAGAATCCGGTTCCTTGGATTTGGATGTTGGCAGAATTTAGTTCTTTGTGTTTGTAGGATTAAGCTCTCTGGCTCCTTGATAGCTATTAACTGGGGGACATGGTTACCTCCCAGAGGCCCCGTTTTGGTCTTCGCGCATAGCCCGCTCATCTCAGAAGCAGCAAAGGATCGCATAGCCTTCTCTCGCTGCCATCTCTCTGACCCACACGTTTGCCCCTTTCCCCACTGTTAAGGACACATGGGATTAGATGGGCCACTTGGATAAACCAAGACATCTGCACACTTCTGGGTTGGCTGATTAGCGATCTCGATCCCATCTGCAACCGTAATTCCCTTTTGCCAGGTTAGGTAACATACTCATGAGCTCTGGGGTCATAGGGCACAGATATCAGGGGGAACCATTTATCTACCTGCTACAAGTAATGATTTAAAAGGAATATATTTCATTTTCTATGTTTGCATCAAGGGTAGGTCACACTTGCTCTGAAAATTTAAAAAGCAAGTACAGGCAAAATCACACAGTGTGGCTCAGAAGGAATTTCTTAAAAAATTCCTAGAAGGGATTTTTGTCTAAAGTTTCCGTTCAAGGGATTCTTTCTTGGCTGCAGAAACACATTTGCAGGCATTTCCAGAAATCACGAGCAATTATCATAGTAGAAGGAAAATTTAATGAGCATGGAGCAAAGAAGTAGATCAAACGCACACATACACACACACTCACACGCACACTCACACTAACACACTCACACACTCACACACACACTGACACTCCTAAATGATGCGGACACCACTCGGTTCAGTCACTTTGTTTCAGATTCAGGGTTATCAGATCTGACTTTTTAAAAAATATTAGAAATCTGAAGTTTTATTTCTGTGCTATCATCCAATTTTAAATTTTGCTAGTTTAAAAATGTGGCTACTGTGTTTCTCTTAATAAAAATTGTATATATTTGATGTGTACAGCAGGACGTTTTGATATACGTATACACAGTGAAATCATTACTATAGTCAAACTAATTAACACATCCATCTCTTCACAGTTACCGTGTGTGTGTGTGTGTGCACGTGTGTGGTGAGAGCATCTGAGATCTACTCTTTTAGCAAATTTCCATTCTAGAAACGGTATTATTTGCTGTAGTCACTGTGCTGTACATTAGATTTCTAGAACTTATTCATCCTACCTCACTGCAAGTTCGTACCCTTCGAGCAACATCTTTCTTTATGAGTCAGTAAACAGCTCCTCTCGGGGTGGCATCCAGGCAACAGGGCAGCAGCTTGGGACTTTGGCCTCCAAGTTATGAAATGTATTCTGTAAATGACTGTCTACAACACGAATATGCCCTAAAGACAAGAAGATAATGTCTAATTGAATCTGAAATGCCCAGGACTGTATAAAATAATTGGCATATACTAAATGTAGAAAAATAGTGTATCGGTTCATCTAAATCTAGTTTGCGTTTTATTCAGATGAAGGTGGAATAGCAAGCTGAAGATGAGAAGGTAGAGAATTTCCAAAGAAACTTGTTGGGACAGAATGCCCGCCAAACATTTGCTGCCTTTCTTAGATTTAAATATAGATACATATTTATCAGTTATTAACAAACTGAGATAATCCTTTAAAAAATTCTGTTACCCAGAATCCTCAAGTATGATGGTAGTATGACTAGCTTTGGTCAAATCTGAATGTGGGTGGACATGATTCTGACACCATAAAGTGACCGTATTCTAAAGGCAATAGGGATTTTCGTCTTCCCTTCCCACTCCATAATTGTGTGAAACTGTATTATTGACTATTCTTACAAAACAGAAGCACGCTGACCTGCTCACTCTGTCCAACCTGCTTTGCCTTATTGAAATCCCATCGCCCTCTCCTCAATTTAAATATTCAGTACATACCCCCTCTGTCGTGCACAGCATCCTCCGGCCTCTCAATCAAGGGTGTCGCTCAAATGATCTTCCCTTTCCGTTGTGTTATGTTTTCCTCTCTGCTGGCTCAGTACTCTTAGCATTCACACACGTCGTTGACGTTCATCTGAAAAACAAAAGGAAATACACACATTCTTCACGTCTACATTCAACTAATCACGCTTCCTTTTTTTTTTTCTTTCCCTTCAAAGAAAATATTTGTACACGTGTCGACATTCTGGTCCTCAATTACTGTCCTTAAACTCTGTGGCATCTACTCCAATCAGGCTCCATCGACACTATTTGATTAAATTGATCTTGGTCAATTTTAGGCAACTAAACCCAGTCAAATCTCAGAGCTAGTCTAGTTTGGTTTCCCAGCAGGATCTGAGTGATCAATCCCTCCTTGAAACAATGTGCCTTTCTCATGTGCTCTTTCTTCTGTCTCTGTGGTCACTTTACTTCGGTCTCCTGCCTTCTCACTGGTGAATCTCTGGTGTCGAGACTTGGATCCCATCTCTCTTCTTCACTAGCCCTCTGGCTTTCAGTCTCTCCCATCTTTAATTCCCACTTACATTTATTGGTAATTTTAATTATCGGAATTTTTGAGTAAAATCGAAGAACTCTTTTTTATCAAATTTAATTAGGGATTTTAGAAGTGCACGATAAAAAAATAAATCTATGAATATTGAGAGGTATTTATATGAACAGAAATTTGGAAATTATATTTACTGGCGATAGGACTTAAGATATATGTAAGAGACAATTGTAGATGCTTAAATAGGTTATCAGGGAAATGTTCAGATTGTAAAAATAAAGGGTATACATATATACACACACACACATAGAGGTATATGAGAGAGAGAGACAGACAGACAGAGACAGAAACAGAGAAAGAGGAGAGATTTAGAACAAGTAACTGGTGGAAAGGGTGGGTGTGGGTTTTCCTACAATCCACAAATAAAGGATGCTATAATTGGGAGATTCTTAAGTTGATTATTTATGCAAAGTATCTTGAATTTTGTTTTTAAGGTTTGTATCGCATGACTGTTTCTGAATCTGCACCCAGTGGTACTTCTATAGGAAAAATCGAGGCGTATGACAATGACATAGGGGAGAATGCAGAAATGGATTACAGCATTGAAGATGACTCACAAACATTTGACATCATTACTAATAACGAGACCCAAGAAGGAATAGTTATATTAAAAAAGGTAGACATGTTAAAATTATTTGCTCTGCAGAATAATGCAAAATTGAATCAGAAATGCATGCAAATATTTTATGTAACCAGTTTTTGTTTCATTAAGTAATTAAAGTGAGAACCTGTGATTTATAGTTTAAGGAGACGAGTTTAGAGATGAGAGTTTGTTATTACAGAGGTTCTTAAATTATACGTAGAACAAGTTTTTTTTTTTTTAAAGATTCGGATAGAGGACAAACATTTTGAAAGGATCTTAAACGACAATAAATAAATTCTCAATTCCATAAGATATTTATTCTCAGAAAAATATAGTTTTAAACTTAAGTAAAAAATGTAGTTATTATTCCAAAACATATACTAGTAATCAACATAAACAACAAAATACACATCGGGATTTGTATGCAACTGCTTAATGATGTCGGAGTGATTCAAATACATGAAAGTAAAAGCTAACTGAAACTGAGTTTAACAGCGAGAACTTTCTTTTTCTAAATAGTACCTTGGGTTACTGAAGCCATTTCTTCTGTGCACACTGTTTTTCTTTGTAGAAAGTGGATTTTGAACACCAGAACCACTATCGCATTCGAGCAAAAGTGAAAAACCGCTATGTTGATGAACAGCTCATGGGGTATCATGCTGAAGCTTCCACCACTTTGATTAGGGTCCAAGTGGAAGATGCTGACGAGCCTCCGGTCTTCCTCCGTCCGGATTATGTATTTGACATCTTGGAAGGACAGCCGCAGGGCTCATGGGTGGGCGTGGTCTTGGCCATAGATCCAGATCAGAGGAGATCTCCTATCAAGTACGTATGTCAGGAAGGCCAGTTTTGCAGTAATGAATGAACACAAATTAATTAGCTTGCGTATGAAATTTCATGCAGATGTAACTACGATCTATCTATCTATATTTCTTTATATGGTACTTACCAAATTGGCAACAATTTAGACAAGTTAAAACAGGGAGCCTCAGTGTTGGTTAAAAAGCATTGATATAAGCAATTGCATACCTGCAGGAACTAAACAATCACCAACTGAGATTCAGTGCAACCACCTCTATTACTTGGGCTAAGGAGGTGAGGGATAAAGGAAACTCTTGATGCCAAGTCAGAGAAGAAACGAAGCTGATCAAAATGTGGTTCATTCAAATATTCTTTCATTAAAATGATATTCAAAAATTTGAGAAAGCTTTTTGTGGGACACCACTTAAAGCAGTAAAAATAGATCTATTTGGTTAGAAATAAATTTCTGAGATACTGTTGAATAATATTTGCCACTATTAAACGAGTCTGTTATATTTGTATACTATATTTTCTTTTTTTAAATATTCAAGTTGTAAGTCTGGTTAGGCGTAAAAGTAAAATCTGTTACATGTTCCTTTAATCATCTGTTGCCCACACTTCTCCATCCAGAGGATTACACAAACCTCCCTGTATTTATTAAGATACTGGCTCTGCTGTGCTCTGGGAGAGCCTACAGGTACAAAGCAGGAGCTTCTTTAAATTTTTGAGACAGAAGGATGCTCTCACTTTTCCACTGTCATTCTTCATCGTAATACACTGCCTCCTAATATGTAGATATAGTTCCTTTTTAGTAATAAATGTAAGTGCATATCTAATATATACATAATTATAACCCAATAAATAGATTTTTAAAGTAGTATATCTATTAACCTATTTGTTGTTCCTCTTAGAATATTAAAGAATATATAATATTTTTAAATACTTTAGTGATTAAGTTGTTTATTATATAATCATTGATAATATAATTATAAATTATACTGTGTTGCAAACAGTTTGAATATCAAGTTTTAGATTTATAAATGACAACGAATGATGAATGATTGACAACAATGCCTATGACCATCGATAAAAAAGTGGCACGATTTAAAAAAAATTGTTAGAGTTGTATATTTACTGTGAGTAAAAATATTAGTATATATGAGACAAATAACTGAGCCACACGCAAATATTAACAGAGGCTATGTGTGTTTTATAGTACCACTTCTGGTTGTTACTTACCAAAAACATTTTTAGTAACAATTTTCATCTTTCTTCTAAAATAAATTACATTTAAAAATAGTTCATGAGTACCTATCAAAAGAATATCTTTCTATGCCTTTCTGGGCATCCTTACATTTAGAAGTGTCTTTTAAATAAGATTGCTTTTTATATATTAGGATTGTAATTTTTTTTTCTCATGTGGTATAGTTCGATTTAGCAAATTTCGAAATGTACCATGAAAATAAAATTAAACATATCTAGATTTGGCTTTTATGTGTCTCAGTTTCTTCTCCTGTGAAGTGGGAATAATGCTTTTGTAGTAATACAAGCATTAAGAGCAAGACATAAAGACGTATGCAGAACATACATGGAAGAATCAATTGTTTACATCATTACGGCAAGAGTTGTTAGTTAGCAAGAGAAAACGTTACACGGTCACATTTTATTCATTCAGCATTTTTAGGGGAATGAAGAGTCCGTAAATGGAAACTTGAAATGAACCAAAGATTAGAAGATTGATCTTCTAAGCATAAAAATGTCACAGTTTAAGCTTTTTAGCACAAGCTCTTTCTAAAATATATTGCAAACATCTTTTCTTTCTTAAATGTTGTATATTGACTATTATTTAAAATGTTACTGCTGACTCAGATCGTATTTAAAAAAAACTTTTATTTGGAAATAATCTCTAATTTTTGATTGATTTTATTTGGAATAGTGTATTATAGAAACTGGATATTCTAGATGTTTAACACAAAATATTAACTGTTAAACTACTGTTCCATTGTGTCAACAATTCTCTCAAGTAGGAAATGTGACCACTTGTGGATATGTAAGTAAATTGCTTATAAAGCAATTTTAAAAATAATTAGAGTTAAAACTGAATTTCTATAAAGCTTGTAGAAAGCTTAATTCTCTGTAATTTCTATTTTAATTGTCCCTGGAACCTCAAGCTACAAATTATTGATATTTTTAGAGACCTGTCAATTCAAGTTTAAAATATTCTCATCTTTTGCCACATAATTATGGCAGACCTCACTGATGTCTCTTCTTAGTCTTCCAGAATATTTGTGCAATGAGAAGCATCACGGAACCCTAGTTATTACTCTTCTTTAATTTTTATTATTAATCATTTGCAAGCTGAGCAGACATACTGAGTACTTCAAAGGCTTCTTTCATTGCAGAGTTGGAGATCATTTCTCAGGCTGTAGCATGACAGAATTTTATTATCTGGCTTTATTCCATGCATGATCGAATAGAACATTTGATCTACTGTCCTTACTTTGGGGAGGGGGGTGTGTGTGTGTGTAATGTATATATATGTACATTATATATGTATATACATGTATGTAAATAAATACATGTATATACAATATATGCTTTACTAAATAGTAACAAATTGTTTCCTTTAAACAAACAAAAATTCTCATATGTCAGTAATCAAGAAATGATAATATAATGCACAGATTTAGCAGATGACTATTTGGTGCAGGAGTCTCAGAGCAGTCCAGGCTGATAATATGTTTTATGTTGCTTCAAATGAAAAAAAAAAAAAGGGTTTCAAGCATTAGTTTTTAACCCCCCATATGCATTTCTCTTCGTTTTACAAATGACATTTTGCCATTTCTTTTTAACCATGTTATTCACTTACTAAAATTCTCTCTTGAGAATAAGAATGAGTGACATGGCAGAATAAGAATGAGTGTTTAGATTTAGAAAACAGCAATTTAAAACTGAGGCCATTTTAGTTTTTTTCTGTCTCCACTGAGTTGAATTTTAAATATATGAATGAACTTTTTTGAAAATAGTTCAGCATTAAATTTGCTATATGGATTATGCATTTAACAATTTATCTCATTGCTTCTAAAGGATGTTATGTCTCTCTGTTATACATAGAAAAAATGAAATTAAGGCATACTTTTTTTTGGTACAGGTATTCTATTACCAGAAGCAAAGTGTTCCTTATCGACGACAATGGCACAATCGTCACAACTAACCCTCTGGATCGAGAGAGCACTGCTTGGTACAACCTAAGTATTACAGCCACAGAAAAATGTAAGTCCCTATTTGAGAACAACACACTGGTCTGCCATAATTTTTAAGCCATTCAATAATCGATGAACATAGGGACAAAAGCTAGCTTAAACTGTTATTGGAATTAGAGTTAAATAATATTTTGTATGTCAATTCATACATGTGTACTTTAGTATTTTAAATTAACAATATCTGTTCATTCCTATTACAGCTTATTAATATATTTGCCACAAAATACCTTTAATTTTGTGTTATGACACTATATAATTGTAATGCAAGAAATGAATCATGGAGAAACACACAAAAAAATAAAACAAAAAATTCTCTGAAATTCTAAAACATTATTAATTAGTGACATGTCTTTATAATATTTTTATGGATACATTTTCATATAAATTTATAACAAATATAAATTTGGCAAGCTTTTATCAAACTAGGTAATATCATATATGGGTTTCTTTTGAAGTTATGAGTTTAATGAAAAAAAAAAGTCTTATGTACATTTCAAAAAAAACATATCCACCCTTAAAAAATAGCTATGGGCAGAAAGAAATTACAATTATTCCATAGGACTCTTTTCCTTAGAACAAAATTTTTAGTTTAGGGAATTTTTTAATTAATGTTATGCATGTTTTAAAACTCTATCAATACTAGTAAAACTATTGAGTTGGAATTTAAAAATTTAATTTAAAATAATTTAAAATCGACTAGTAATATTGTATTGTTCAACCACGATCGGGTTAGACTCAGTTCATAGGGGACTGTTCTCAAAGTCGAACATGCCTGTGTTTGTGCTACTTTCAGGATAAAATATTAACAATACTCTTGGACATTAGGGACAACGTGGCACTTTAAGACAACTTTTTAAAACTTAGGCTTTTAAAAATGATCATGTTCAATGAAATTATGGGAAATAATATGAAAGATTCAAACAAATATTTATTGGAAATCTGTACATCACAAAAATGAATATATTTTCAAATTAAAATCATGATGTCACCTATGCTGATAGTCACATCTTCAATAATCAATAGTGACCAAACCAGTTATTTTTCAGAGATAGGCAGAAGATTTCATTTTCAGGTTGTAAGATAAAATTATTCCAATTTACCACTTGGATAGTGTCTTCAGATTTACCAATCAGTTAATCAGATATTAAATCAATCATATTAATTCAAGTTCAAAGGAATAGATTTAACAATATATAAGATTATAAAATCATTCTCTTCTTTAGTCAGGGATGGATTTAATATAGTACAGTATGGGATTAAAATTGTAAATATGAAATGTTATAGAATAAATTCTTTCATAATTGATTTTTGCATGGATTTTTAACAATCTTGTTTATTTTCCTGCATCAATTTTGAATATCTTACTCCTCACTTTACTGAGCAGTCGGCCGGTGATATGTAGGAGTGTGAAGCATCTCTTGGATATTTTGTTTGTCATGCATTGAATAACTCTATGGGAACACTGCAGGAGGATCGCATCTGGGTTTTGAACTTTCCATTTAACTTAGTAAAGGTTGGGAAGCAGATGTTCTAGGGGATGACCGTCTGCTGCAATAGAAGAAATGTCAAGGCTTTTGGTGTCCAAAACATAAAGACATTTATTCTAAAATTGAAGCTTTTATTTATTGGGTATTTCTGAGAAAAGATTATTTATAATGTCACTGTTTGCAAAACTCTTGAGAAAAAGAATTCAAAGCAGTTCAAGGGAAGACTGGACATCTTTATAAAAGTGTATTTCTCTATAAAATAACTTTCGACATTTAAAAGAGCATGTTTTAATAAATTTATATAATTATTCCCTGTAAGCTTATCTTATTTATACAGGGGATTTTTTGTAAGAATGTATCACTTAATTGTGTTAAGTAAGAAGTACTAAAATATAAGTTATTAGAAAGATGAATCTTGAAAATTTAGTATGTGTATTCTGAAACACCAAACACTAATCTATTACAAATAAATAGAAAAAAACGATGACTAAATGGTATATAAAGTTTGCAAGATAATTCAATTATATCTTATCCCATTAATTACCTGATTACTTTTATTAGAGCGATGTCATGAAGATCTCTAGAAAAAAATCGAAGCATTTATTTTGTTGCCTTTTTTTAAATATGGTGCATATAAATCGTAGCATCACAAAATGAAACAAAAAAAGTAACTCGATATTTGTGTTGTAACATAGTTGCTGTCCATAAAAATTACTAATTCAATGTATGAATGAGTATTTACATATATTCGATAAAAATTATATGATATAGTAAATATTGTAATTATGTCATAGTGTATTGTGTTCAAAAATGATATATAAATATTTAGTGACCAGCACAACACAAGTAATCAGACGAGACTTTAGCTTTCAACAGTGCTACTTGTCAGCTGATCAGCAGCCTTCACAGTATTAAGGGGTTTGTGTGTGTGTGTATGTGCATGTGTGCACGTAATTAAAAGTTTGTGAATTATAAAATATTGTATAAACAATTTATAAGTAAAAGAAGATTTAAAATACAGTCGGTAAAAAAAAATGTAAATGCCAGCAAAATGCAAACTAAATATGTGAATATATTTATTTTATATAGAATTTAATATTTAGAAGTTAATCACTATTTCAGAAATAAGTGATTAGAAATGTTATTAAATACAGGAATTATACAATTCACAGTGATATGCTCCTGGTGATATAAAATCAGTTTTCTTAGAATAAAAATGTACTTTTAGATAAATAGAGATTTTTTTATCACTGTCAACCTAAAAACCCAAGCACCAATAATTGATCTAATAGTGTTTATTTGAGGTCAAAGGAACTACAATTCTGGAATACAGATTCAGTCATAAATCCTCCCCCATTCCCCTCTAATCCCTTGCAGTAGAGGGACTGTGGGTTTTTATGAGAAAGAGGGAGGAAGGAGATAAGGTAAACTGTATTAAAGAGGTCATCGGTGCTAGATGAGGTAAGACTAGATTTGTACTTCATTGGTTAGCAATTTGGGCATACGCAAAGTCTAATTTCATTAGTCCTTAACAATAGGATATTCTCATCCTTACTGATTTCTTAGAATATTGGTGGTTTGGTCCAGTTTAGAAGATAAAAATCAAACAAGACATGCCTGCTAGGTGCTCTGAAATGGAACTCTGGCTCTATTTTAATATGTCTCCATTCAAATCATCTCTCACGTTCCCATTATTATTTTTATCGTATAGCTGAAAAGTTACAGGATGCAAAACGCAATTCTAAAATACAATAGATAAATACTCTCAGAAACTCACAAAGTTAATGTTTATTTAATTTATCTTTGAAGATCCATTTTTTTAAAAAAAAAAGTTTTTAAGGAAAACTGGTTAGAAAGAACTTTTGTAACACTGAGTAACCAATTTTCATGTATTTTTCCCCTCTGTCGAATTTTTCAGTGCACATAATTAAACTCATTTTAGAATAATTTTGGAGAAAATATTTGTAAGTGCCAAATCCTCATTACTGTGTTATCAATAGCAAAAATAATTGTTAGACTATTTAAGTCTCGGTAGTAATATAAACAAACCACCTGAATAGTGAAAAACAGCATCAAATAAAATTGTGAAAAATACTTGGTAAATAACTAGGGTTAATTATCTAGGAGCTTGCAACATAACAGTTATGCTGATTATAGGAAAGAGATGTTCCATTGTAACATTTGCTTTTTCAGCAAATGAAGTCACTTTGCTTAATCTTTTTCTTGGAAAACTTCCCATATTAAGCAACAAGCTATTTATCAGCATGCCAGCTAAGTGAATAAAACTAAGTACTCTAAAATAAAGCTGTGAAGACATATGTATGTTTTATATAGTCATGTCAAAGGTTTAATTTGAACTTAATTTTAAACAGATTTTTCAGCGAAAAAGATAAAAAACTTTAAATGAATTTCTTACTAATTTTTCTTAAACTTACATATACCTGAATTACTTTTTCCACTTTACTATCTAAACAAAAGTTGTTCTATGGTGATATATGTTTAACCATTAAAAAATGAGCCTTAAATTTTGAATCATTCCATCTTGAAATCTCTAGGAGTATCTTTTCATATGTTAATGTTGTTTTTATCTATTTTATCCTGAACATAACACAGTAAAGAAGAGTTTCAAAATAATTAATGGTTTATGTATTTCCTAAAGACCATGGATTTTTTTTTTGTCTATTAAAGCTGGCAATTTTAATTTTTAATTAAATGAAAATTATAATTTCCATCATAATTGCAACAGTTATTTACTGGAAAAAAATAGTTACAAACAAAATTTCACCTCAACCCAGAAAACCTCTCTCCAACAGTGAAAGGAGAGAAAATGGTTTTATAATTGAAAAACATTAAACCAAAATCTGATGTGAATTACAGGAAATCCGCTAAGATGTTGCCAAGACAAAAGGAAATTTCTCCCTTTCATAGAGCCAGACAGATACAACCTATCACATGAGTTTTCTCAAGATAAACATTTACTAGCCTTCAAGTAGGAGGGTTTAACCATGTGTCTGTCACCCATAGTTCATCTTAAATTCACTGAGTAGTTGGAATGATTATCTGCATTCACTTATTGGCTTTATCCAAATAAAAACTAAGCTTTTCATAACTTTAAGACAAGAGGTAGTTTTTTTGCAACTTGGGTCAAGCAAGGCCTTTGCTAAACTTGTCCTACCTTCCCACATAACTAGAAGAAAGGAGTGCTGTCTTCCTTGATGATTACTTTTCAGAGCCGGTATCCAGTACTTGAGAAGGACAAACCTACGCTGTAATGTTGGCAAGAGGTTCAATTAGCTTTTAAAAGGTCTACATACATTTTAAAGAAACAGAGAAAAATCTTACAAATGTTCTAAGAGGAAGGAGGAAATGTCTGTTCCCTTGTTTTCAAGAGAGAATTAAACCACTTAAAAAAAGTCTTTGCCCTTAAAAATTACAGCTGTAAATATAATGCTGTTTCATAAACAAAAGAGCACAGAGATTATAAATGGAAACATTGAGAGAAACAAATGAACCCCCCTTTTTCTAATCATTAATTGTATATACCTTTTCCACAGTGTTGTTAAATAAAAAGTGACATTTAAAATAACGTTATACAAATATGGACTATATTATGCTGCCATTTGCTTTTTTATCATTTCACAAAATAGTATGCATATGACTTCTTGTTAGTAGTAAATAAAATAGTATTTAATATTTATTGCTTATTTATATGCTAAGTAATCTTCTAAATGTTTTATATGTATTAATTCATTTAATCTTTATAACAGTTCTATAGTGTAATTACCAGTATCATTTCCATTTTATGGAAAACCAACTGAGACAAACAGTTTTTAAGCATTTTTCTCAAATTGAGAACCAAGATTAAAATCTATTTTTAAAGCTCATGATATTAATACATCTGTTACACTGACTCATTTATTTTTAATAAGCATGCAAAATTTCATAGTATGGTTGTAATTTATTTTCCCAGTTCTCTTTTGATACGTATTTGGGTCATTTCCAGTTATTTGGATGTGATGCAGATAATTCTGGAATAAAGAAGTTGAATCACATACTCTTACATACTGGTGCCTTGGACCAAAGCATAGATTTCCCAAGCTAATTACTGGGTCAAAGATATGTGTAAGTTAATTTTTACTATCTATTGCCAGATTAGGTTCTAGGAAAGATTTACGTCCCCATTCTTTTTTAGCACTCCGCCATCGCTGGCTCTGTTTTTTATGTCACACAGATCACATGGACTAAATCATCATTCTCATTTCCAGTGAGCTACAGCCTTTGTGAATATTATGATACAGCAGTTTGTCTCAGCTGTGGGCGGTTTTGCCTCCTAGGACATCTGACCATGTCTAGGAGGCAAAACTGCCCACAGCTGAGACAAACTGCCCACAGCTGAGACAAATTCTCACAACCAGAGTGAAGATTGCTTCTGGTATTTAGTTAGTAGTGGCCTACACACCCTACAATGCGTAGACGACCCCCCGAAACAAGGACTTATCTCATCCAAAATAGCAGTCGTGGTGAGGTTAAGAAGACCTGGTATGAATTATTTGAATTTTCTCATCTGTGAATTTCTAGTTTGTGAATATTTCCATTGAATTGTGTTTTTCATATCAATTTTCAGGATTTGAAATTAAAACTTAATATTTCATCCTGCGATGCAAACATTTTTCCAGATCACTGTTGTTTTGTTGTTGTTTTGGCTCTTTGTACATATTGTTTTGCCATTTAAAAAATGTATTTATCCATGTCTTCTTCCCTTTCCTTCATGGTTTCTGTATTTCTTTATCCACTTAAGAAAATCCTCCCAACTCACTCACTCTCTCTCTCTCTCTCTGTCTCTCTCTCTCTGTCTCTCACTATCTATCTATAAACTTCACTTAGAGTTTAATATAATTATTTTATTTTAAAATGTATTTAGATCATTATTCCAAGTCCATTTTTGTTTTTAAAAACTACACTGAATAATGCTGTCATTAAGAGTGCTTACTGCTGGCATCTTAACTGCCTTTTCTACTTTAGCCGTGACCTCAGGCAAATCATTTAACCGTAATTGATTAAACTAAATCATTTGTTAGTGTGTTTATCAGTAAAGTTGAGGAGGATAATAATACACATCTTCATCAGATTTAGATGAATTAATGCAAATACGTTCAATAGTTCCTAGATTTAGAACGGTCTTGTGTACCTAATGACTTACTTTACCTTTTTCCTCATCAACTCATCCAGTCTATACCAGGTACAAGGCAGTTGATAAATATTGGTTGAATCAAATGTGTGGAGAACATTTTTTTTCTAGGATGTATTGTTGATAAATAAAATAATTATATAGAGATCCTGTCCTCAGATAGCTTTTATTCAAGTAAAATAAAAATATATCACATAGCCTCTACGCAGTTTCTATGAACTCCCCCGAAAGACAGCACTAACATTCATTATTTTTATTCTGTTTATTCAATTTGCAGACAATGCACAGCAGATTTCTTCAGTTCCTGTGTATGTACAAGTTCTCGATATCAATGACCACGCTCCTGAGTTCTCTGACTATTATGAGACTTACGTTTGTGAAAATGCAGACTCTGGGCAGGTAAGAACTCATAATATATTGCTGACATCTAAACAATGCCATATATTATTTATAATAACTTTTGCTATGTAGTCCTCCTATTTTTAAATGATAAAAATAAATTTTATTAACTCTATTAATTACATGCTTTTTTTGTTGCGAGTTCTATATAACTTAAATTTCTTTTGAAAAATAACATGTCCATACACATTGGCAGGGTTGTTTCTGTGCGGTGTCAAGTGTACACAGACACCTTACAGTTCATTCAGAATCTCTTCACAAGGAAATGGGCCCCTTGTGAATGACTTGTATGCATGACACTACTTATAACTATACTGTTACTATAACAAGATTACTTTTAACAGGCCAGTTCTACCTATTTGCTTATTTATTAGTATTTTTCTTTACTAAATCCTTAGATAAGAATTGTAGAGCAAAAGTGGCATTATTCTTTTTCAAATGACTCCTAGGAAAAAAATGCCAAAATTAAACACCTGCACACATAAACTCAAACAGAAAAAAACTGTTCAGCGTATGACTATAAACATCATATATAAATTGTAATTAAAAGCAATTTCTAAAAGTATTAAAAGTTGATAACCCCAAAAAGTATGTTTAGGAGTTTAGAAAACATTTTAAAGTATTTTAAAAGCCATTACTATTTTTGACACATCGATATACAAATAATGTATAGATATGCATGAACTTTGACAAAATTAAAGCCCTTTGACAAATTTAAACTTAAATTCTGAGTTACATATAAAACAAGTTGAAACAGACAATAAATAAATGGTATAAGTAGTACCTAAATCTATTGTCAAAGTCTCAATGCTGAAAGATGTGGTATCTTAACTTTAAAACAATAATGAGAAAGAAATTCTTTTACACTATCATTTCATGGTGTTTTGAAGCTTAGGTCAGTACAACGATATATAAAATACATATGAAATAAAGTTCCTGAAAAGAAGGAAATTTACTTAAGAGGATAAACTATCTAGTACAGCGCTGCCAAATAAATTGATAAAATCTAAAATTTCCTTGAAGCCACATTTAAAACATAATAAAAATGGGGTTGCTAATTCGACAGGAATAACATTTCTATCAAGTAAGACAAGTATAGAGACCTGTTGTAGCGTTGTGCTCACACATAACAATGCTGAATCTTACACTTAAAAATTTAAGAGCATAGATCTGTTAAGTGCTATTACCACGATTAAAGTTTCTAAAAACGTAAAAAAGAAACATGGAATCATTTTTCCATGTTTATCTGAAACAATACATTCAAAATATTATGATTTTTCACATGTAATAAATTAAAAATCATTAAGGAAATATTTTATGTATTTTCTCATGCCATAGAGATTATTGTTGTCTAATTTCCCACAGGCTCAAATAGCTGGACAAAATAACAAGTTAAGAATGTATTTGCTTTGGTTAGACAATACCTTCATTATAGAAAATCAAAATGCCAGAATAGTTGCATTTTATTCTGGAGGAAACCAGACATGTTCTTAATGACTTATATGGGTAAACAGAGGTTTCAGTTTTTGTTCTTAATGTATAAATGACAGGGCAGGAAGAAAAGAGGGAGAGAAGTTTTCAGTGGTTTGCAAAATATGGATATAATAAATGAGCTGACATTACAGCTATTTGCCTTTCCTGTTTGGTAGAAATATGTATCATTTTTCAACTTAATAATTTCTGTTTTCTTGACTGATGCCAAATACCTTTTTCCAGAATTGAAGTGTAATATTGGTGATTTTTAGATTCTTTCATACCAATATTTGGTCTAATGTAAAGACATTTGCATTGTTTCCATGTAAAAATATTCTCTTGCCAAAATGTCTCTTGAGCCCACATTGTAATCTGGTTGGCTTCTCACCTTCCTTTCCCTCTTGTGTCCTGTCCCTGTTATTTTTTTCAAACTCACTCTTTCTGCTTTCATCCTCCTCTATGTCTCAAAGTTCATAGATCTTTATGCCAGTTCATTCCCTTATTTTAGGTTACATGTCCAACTAACTAGAGAAAATGTTGACTCATATGTCCCATGGTTACACCAAATTTGCTTCTAAGCCTTCCTTTTTATTTTTTTTTCAGTATCCTCAGCAAAATTACTGTAACTCACCAAGTGGTGCAAGAAAGACATGTGGGCATCAGCCTGAATTCATTCTAGTCTTATATTCTCCATATCTAACCAGTTATTAAGCTCTGTTGATTCTAGCTCCTAACTATCTATGTGATCTGTCCATCTTACTCTATCCTAACTCTTTCCAAGACAGCAGGAACCTAACATCTCTTCTGGAGTGAAGCTTAGCCCTGCTAAGGGATGTTTCTATAAAATCAGACTTTGCCTTATCCAGTCTCACAGCTGACGTGAAGGGGTGCCCCGTTGTTGTTGATCAGTGGTCTTTTTCTAGGTAAGTCGGTGGGCCCGTAGACAGTTTCTATGACATTCAGATTTTACTGGAGAGGCAGTGGTCAGAAGAACATGTGTGCCCTCTTGGAAATGGTAAAAAAGACCTTATTTCGATTATATCAGCGAACACTTAGGAAACTTTGGGACCCACAAAGCTGTATCTCCCTGTGGAAGCACACAGTACCATCTTCAGTTTATGTAAACACTTTGGCAATTTTCATATAAATTTAATTTTCATTTAAAATAATTAAGAGCCTGTAACTGTGAGTGTTGTTGTCTTTTTGTGTATTACATCAGGGAGTGTTGATTGCTAACCAGTTGCTCCCTGGATCATGGAAACAACTTGCTAAGTAGGTTGTCTATTTGCGGATCCACACTGAGTGTTTCCAGAATGAGCATTCTCAAATCTGGATCTTTTCTACTGATTTGGGATCATCGCAATCCTAAATAAATCCTAAATAAAAATAAAATGCTCATGTCTTTTCCAATTTAGCACTTGTGAGTGGCCCTCAGTATGTAGTCTGAACTCTGTGATACGCCTGGAACACCGGTTATGTAGTTAGTCACGGTTCACCCCTGTGGTATCATCTGCTCATTTCAGTTTAAATGCCAAGTCCTCTAACCCCCAAAGTTTATTTCAGTCGTTATGTACGTTAGGCGTTTTATGACATGCTTTTGTTCTGTAGGTATGATATGCCTTCTCAATACTCTTTAAGTTCGCAATTCTGCTTGTCCCTCTACCCCACCAGAATGTAATGACAGAGTGATGACAGAGACGCTGTTGGCCCCGGGCATCATTGGACACCTGGGGCCTGAGATGACTTGGCATATTCTAAGTGCCAATAAGATATTTGTTAAATTGATACATTTGGGATATTAATCAGATATTTTTATAATTTAATCTTTTTATTTATATGACGACATATGAATTTCTATTAACCATATTTTTTAAATTAATTTAACAAAAGAAAATCAGGATATATATTGAGATAAAAATCTAAGAATGTATAATTTTTAACTGCATATGGGTAGATTTGTACAGTTAATGAAAAAACATTACAATATCTATGGCTTTAAATAAATGTAATATAATTTTATCAAAAGTTTTTTTTTTAGGAAACATAGAGTATCTCTGCCTTTATTCCAGGATCAAAATAGTAGAATATTATGAGCATCTCAACATTTTTCTCCTAATAATATGCTAATCAAAGAAAGAAAACAGACTATAGGTTAGATTTGTTGTGGTGGTGGTGGTTAGCTCTAATGCTATTATTTTATTAACTAGTACTTTGCCATTTTGGACAGCTATTCAACAAAGTTCTGAATCTTATAAATTTATTTTGTCAAAACAAGTCTCAGTGCAGTGGTATAAACAGTGATGGTCTTGTTCATATTTGTGGACAATGATTTCTTGACAGTGAGAGAGAGAATTTGCATCTACATCTCGATGCAAGGTGCAAATACCTAGAATAACTAGATAAGCAAGCAATTTAGGTGAGATTTTACAAAAATCCTTTCATATATTTGTTTACTACAACTCCCACTTTCTCTTTAACATTTTTGTATTGAAGGAAATTGTTTATTAAGCACATTTCAAGCAATTGATACTTTAAGTCAATTAATACTCAATACCTGTATATCGATTTCTAGTTTATTATTCAATTTATAGTTTAGAACCTTATTAAAAATTATTTCATTGATATCTGGTATATAGGTTGGGAAACAAATTCAAATATGTTGTTTGCTCCAAATCAGTGTGTGACAATCTGCTTCATTGACAAGCTATCAAAAAAAAAAAAAATGTGCGTTTAATAAAGGCCCTAACTATAGTTTGTGAAGAAATGAATATAGACTTACATTTTTTAATCAGGATGATTAATCTGAGAAGGACATTTTAGTAAGCTGGCCCTGGGCCTCTTTATTTTTTTTAGGAAAAAAGCCATTGTGCAAAGGAATTGATAGAAAGAAATGACTATATTTCTTCCCTTCATACTTCAGTAAAATAATTAACTGATTCTACTACGTCAGTAACTTCCTAGTTCTGTAAAGTGGTGGAACCCAATAAACCATATGGAAACCCAATTTACAAAACAAATATAAGTGACAGTAGGCTCATTGAAAAGGGGACAGTGTTGAAACTCTTTCAATTTACCTATGTACACGTATAGAATCGTTTGGTTAATTAAACATATTTAAAAATATATACAAAGTCACACTCTAGTGTTCTTAAGCCTTCGTTCATGAAAGGGAGACGTTTTCAACATTTAGTCAGATGCATGTGTTTAAAACAAAGTCAGGTGATAAGATAAAACTATCCCTTGTTTAAAAGATCAAAACTGCGTACATCAACAAGATAAAGATGAATTGTTACAATTTGCTTTTAATTTTAATAGAACAATTATACCTTTAATGAGATTACTAACAATAGTCAGGACATCATCCCTTGAAAACGGATCATGACGATATTTTCATGAAGAGAACACATAGCAGACATGGAGTGAGTGTCGACAAGCCCTTTGACAATGAACACATAATCCTAAAAGTTGAGTATTAGTATCTCCACTTTTTAAGCTTAGAAAACTAGTAAGTGGTGAAGCTGGGACTCAGAGTATCAAACTTGCAAGCCCCTGCCCTCACCCTGGCTACAGAATTTTGTGGTAATGAGAAGAAAATCATTGTGCTGGGACAATACTCACTTATTGTTGGCATGGATTGAATGAAAAAATATTTTTCTCATTAGTTTATTTAATTAATGCTATATGACTATAATTTAATTAGGAATATGTTATAAAGATAAAGATAAATTTATTTAGAGAAATAATAATATGTAAACTGCATGAGTTTCATGGGCTCTTTATGCACATAGAGAGATAGCTATTCTTTGAAGTGTAACATAAATTTTAGGTATGTCATCTTGCAACTAAGGATAGTTTTTGTTTGACACATTGTTAAAAGCTCTTTAATTCTAGAAAATTCACAACAATAACTTGCATAATCAATTTACTTTAATTTCCAGAATTAATCACCATCTCACTATGAGGTCTTGACAGCGTATCTCTTTTTTGACGATAATGAACTATTTGACTGACACATTCCTATCTTTAAAGAAGAGAATTAATTGAGAACTAATTTGTTTATAACTGAATTACTTCACTTTTTTATGATTTGAGATAGAGGAAGGAACTTATTCGATGTGGAATATTTTTCCTATAATCTTTATGGCTCGAAGGAAATTATGTACATTGCCCCTAAGCTTTCAATGTATTATTTCCTTAAATTTAAAAACTCACTACTTAAGCAAATACTTCAGGAAGACAATAACTTTTCTATAGTTATTCTCTCAATATAAGCAGGAAATATACAATTTCAGTAAACCATTATGTCTGGCATTCAGGTAAGGAAGGGAGAAGGAAAGAAAGAAGAGAGACATTTAGTTAGGAAGGATGGGAGGGAGTCTTGATATACAACAGCAGTGCTATGAGAACTTCTAACAAACTTAGCTTATGGAAACCATCTGGTCCACTCACAAAACATTATTATGTAATATTAAAACATTCTTTTGAAAGGGGCAAGTAAAGATATTTCTAACCTGAGAAAATATGTTAATATTTCCATCAGTTTTAATAGTCATCCTCTGCAATGTCCATAAAGGTTTTGGTAAAGCAATTTTAATTATAAAAAATAAGAAGAAGAATATAATAGTAAGAGCAGTGATCATTTTCTTAAATCGAAACAAAAACCTTTTTCTGTATTTTTTTTCTAGATAATTCAGACCATCAGTGCAGTGGACAGAGATGACTCCATAGAAGATCACCATTTTTACTTCAATTTATCTGTGGAAGACTCGAAGAACTCTAGTTTTACAATCATAGACAATCGAGGTAACTCCATTTACTTTGATCCATTATCCTAGTATCGTGGTTGATTTAAGGGAACTTATATTATGGCTTTTTATGCTGTTCCTGCAACATAATAATGTTGAGGTATAGAGCAAGAAGTGGGAATGAAAATGGGAAACAAAAACCAAAGTCAAGAACTGAAAAGACCAGCCCCATTGTGTATAGGATTTGTTAAAGTTAGAAGCACTTTTTCAAGTAATCAATGGCTATAAGTCCTTGTGAAGTCTCGGTGACCCTGCAGATATAATTGCAGTTCTGATAATAACGGTTCCTTTTATGTCATGTAACTCAGACTTCAATCTAAGGGGAAGAAAATGATATATGCTTAAGTTGTAGTCACGTAACCTTGATTGATTCCAAGATATGTGGAGTCATTAATTATGGGTATAAATATATGAAATTGCTTTAATATTATTCTTTTTTTCCCTTCAAAATGAATGATTATATCAACCTAAGGACAAAATGTTCCAAAAGATTTCTTCTGGAGAGACAGAATTTCTTTTCCTTCCACATAGAAGTGAATTAGCTTTATAGAAAGCCACTCTGTTCTTTTTCTTTTCCTTCAGTAAATTATTTTTATCATCATGTGGATTTCAGTTTTAATTTTCTTTATGTTCCAAAGATATGAATCACCATTAGGTTCTGTAACCTAAGACCTGCAGCTGTCCTTCCTGACAACCGAGTCGAAGCTTTGTTCAGAAGGAGATTCTTTGTTGGGAGAAGACGTACAGACATGTCATGTCCCCTTTCTCCCTGTCAAATTCCCCAGTGAAGGGAAACCAGAGAAACTCATGATAAAAACTCAAATATCAATATAAGAAATAAGATGTAGATTAGTTTTATTCACATTCATATAAAATAAGGTACCGAGGCAAAATAAACATATTAAAGCAAAGAAAATAATTGATTTGGTTTAACGTTTATGGTCCTAAATAGACTATATGTTAAAAAATATAAAAACTCTCACCCCTCTTGAATCTGTCTAGTAACTTAAATCAAAAGAGTTTTATAGACTTTAAGAACAAGGTGGAGAATTTGTTTTTAAAAAATGATTTGGAAAAAGTCATAAGTAGGCATACATTTCAAAAGACTTCCATTTGTTTGCATTTTATAGTTAGTTTCTTCTCAAGTTTGTCTGATTTCTACAGAAAGTATTTTGGGGAATGGAAATACAAAGCAAAAAGAAAAAAGAAAAAGAAAATGCAGATCTGAGGCACAAGAAATTATACTGAAAAAAGTTCTATAGATATCTCTATACTATTGCCTCTAGTACAAATGCCTGGTATGAATTTATTTCATATTGTTGAAAAAAATGATGCACATGGATTTTTGTTTTAGATAACACAGCTGTAATTTTGACTAATAGAAATGGTTTTAGCCTTCAAGAAGAGCCTGTCCTCTACATATCCATCTTAATTGCTGACAATGGGATCCCGTCGCTTACAAGTACAAACACCCTTACCATCCACGTCTGTGACTGTGATGACCATGGCAGTGCACAGACCTGCAGTAATAAGGAGTTCATGCTTTCCATGGGACTCAAGACAAAGGTCATAATCGCTGTTCTGATGTGTATTGTGATAATATTTGGTAAGTAATGCTGAACTGAACATATCTTTATTTATAGAAAACAGTGAATTCCATTATAGTAGTATAAGGTGGCTTTGTGTGTGTGTGTGTGTGTGTGTGTATGTGTGTTTAATTGCTCTTTCGAATGCATTACAATTCTTAAATCAAGCATATTAAAAAAAATAGTGAATATGCATTTACGCATTTCAAGCTGAAAATCAAGGATCCTTGAATGTTATGATTATATGAGTGTGTGTGTACATATGTTTAGGAATGTTTTTACACATATTTATTGGAACATATAGAGTTATATAAAAATTAGTAATAATAATGGCACGCTTATGTTGAGTGCTTATTACACTCCAGGAGAGTGCCTTAAGTGCTTTTCTCTGTTATGCAATATGATCCTCACAATAACCTTATAAAATAGTAACTATTATCACCTGTGAAACTCAGAGTTATGTGCTTTACAAAGGGCCATGCAGCTAGTAAATGATGTGCTGAGGTTTCATAACACATCGCTGTTCAACCTTACTCTGCAACTCACTAGGGCCTTTGGAGCATTAAAAAGAGTAAATATTAGCATGGAGGAATGTCAAAGAGGGTTTTACTTCATCAGAGTTCTAAACACAAAAGAAATCTCAGTCAATTAACTCCAGTATTTTTTGTTTGTTTATTACCGTTGTTATCATTTTCACAAGAAAATAAGGGTATACTCATTTTACAGATGAGGTGAATGAACCCCAAGTGTTTCATGTAGTTAGTTGGGCTTATGAGATGACAGATGATTCACCTAGCATAACCTTTTTCTTTCCTTTAACCTACCAGTATCTATAATCTAAACCCTTCTCTCGCTCACCTCATAGCTTTATATTAAACCTGACACGACTTTATTCAGTGTTGAGAGTGATTCTATCAGCTGTTGTTTCTGGGATCCCAACTCACTGCTCTGACTGGCGTACAGTTTGTTTCAAGACTTCGTTTGCCTTCACCTTCACTCTCCTCGTCTTTCCCAAAGCTTCAAAACCCATGCATTCCTCTGTTACCACCCAACGTGACCATTCTTTTATACCAAGCTTCAGTTTTTTAAGTGATTTTTAATATCTTTGATGATAAAACTGAATTTAGAGATACATAGCTAGATACCAGGATCAAGAAGCAGTTAAAACAGTGTAGGGTTGAGGGGATGGCAAGTACTTAGTTACTCACGGGTTTAGGCCTAAACCAAGCCCTCAAAACCTGCAAGTAGATCACAAGCAGCCCCACAGTGAAGGGACGCATTACATTTGGGGCGGGGGAGTGAGGTCAGCCAATAGCCAGTAGTTTCCTTTGAAAATTTCATGTATGTTCTCTCCAGTTCATAGATTTAGAAATTATTTATTAGATCCCTTTCCGTTTCAACCATGTATCTCAGATGACTTTTAAAGTACAGTACCTGAATTTAAACATGATGACTTTATTTAATTCCAGAGCACTTTTCGGTATTTTAAATGTAAGTTTTATATAAAATATCGCCTAATATGTTTATCTTTGTGATAATACTAATGATATTGTCCAAGTTTGGTTTGAGTCCTATATATGAAATTCTGAACAGCCACTTAAGATCCAAGGTTGAGTAAGAGTTAACTATCCTTGACACACACACATGTGCACACACACACACAATCACACTTTAAAGTAAAAATAAAGTGTTGTGCAATTGTCCAGCTTCTACTTGATGTTAACATTACCTGCTTCTATTTGATGTTAACATTGAGTGTGGAAATACCAATGCTGTGATTTAAAAACTTGATAGCTTAGAATTTCAGAAAGTAACGTATTTTCACGGAGTGCAGATTCTGGACCAACTGTCTAATTTTGAATGGCAGCTTTCTGTTTCCTCACTGTGTGGCTCTGGGCATGTGATTTAACACCTCTGTACTTCAGTTTCCCCATTTTTAATAAGGAATAATAATAATATATGGGTATCATAACAATTAAATCAATGAATACATGTGAAGCTTTTAGAAAAATGCCTGGCACACACTGTGTAGTTTATAAATATTAACTTTGGAAATAATTATGACACAGAATTTTCCTCAATGGGGACTATCGGACTGGTCCATTATGCTTAACTTCTATTAACTTGTATCATTAATTACTAAATTGACGAATGCATATAGATTGGAAAACGTTCCCTTATTCTGCTTTGTTCTATTTCCAATATATAAGAAAAAAATAAAATTTTAAGTCTTAAATTGATCATCAAAAATATTTCACTATATTTTTGTTTTTCTACCCTAAATCACGAACCGGAATGATTGTTATATGTTTCCCTATGTCATTCTGTGAGCCCCTTTTGTAAACTTTCAACAGCAAATATATCTTTGTCTTAGAATCATAAAATCCCAGCTTATGTTTTGAGTTCATAACGAAAACAAGAATTGTCAAGTTTATTAGAAATAATATACTATTTAGCAATACATTATATATTGTATTACATGATATTTATATTACGTTCTGTTCTCTTCTATCATTAATCATATTATATATCGATGTGTTAATATTCTGATATGCTTTCTTTGTCAGGGTTTATTTTTCTGATCCTGATTCTGAAACAACAAAGAAAGCAGACCCTATTTCCTGAGAAAGGTGAAGATTTCGGAGAGAATATCTTCAGATACGACGAGGAAGGGGGAGGCGAGGCAGACACGGAGGCCTTTGACATGGGAACGCTGAGGAGCAGCACCGTCCTGCGGGCGCCCAGGTCTCGGAAACGCGCCGCCCAGGTGAGGAGCCTGTACCGCCAGTCCCTGCAGGTGGGCCCCGACAGCGCCATATTCAGGAAATTCATTCTGGAAAAGCTCGAAGAAGCCAACACTGACCCTTGCGCCCCTCCTTTTGACTCTCTCCAGACCTACGCTTTTGAGGGAACTGGGTCGTTGGCTGGATCCCTGAGCTCCATCGGCTCAGCACTCTCTGATCAGGATGAAAATTACGATTACCTTAATGAACTGGGACCTCGCTTTAAGAGATTAGCATGCATGTTTGGTTCTGCTATGCAGCCTAATAATTAGGGCTTTTTTATTTAAAATTTAAAAGATGCTAATGTGTTTGGAGGCAAACTGGTCGTCTCTTGTTAAAGAGTTGCGTGCTTCAGTTCTCTGGGACAAGAAAAAAGAAAAAGACCAGTCCGCAGTGTTTTCTGATTTCCTTGGAGTGAATACCCCATGGTCATTTCGGCCTACCTACATGTTGTCACTGCGTGCACACAGGGGAAGAGGAGGGAACGATCAGCTCTCCCGTGCCAGGGCAAGCCAGCGTGAGCATGCCACCGACGGATGCTTCCAGCATTTCTTCCCATGCTGTTTAATACGAATTCTCAACATTTGTGAATATTTAATGTGAGAAAGACACTGAACCTAGAGTATCTTAGTATTATTTCATTTCTGCATTTATTAAACTTTACCAATTAAGAGTAAAGATTTTATGTGCGGTGAGCTCCTGATACTAGAGAGATAAATTTCAACACGTAGGGGAATCTGGGTAATTATATAAAACTTGAAAACATTTTTTAGTTTACATGAATAAGCAAATTTCTTACTAGGATATTTGGTTCATTTCACATTGACGTTTTAAAATTTTGTCATGACCGTACTTTAAAAATGATTTCAAATTTAGATGGGTAATTGGCATAGGTTAATTAATCAAAGATATAGTATAAATTTGTATTATTGTTGATATTACAGCCTTGTTTTGAAAAGGGGCATAAAACATGTTTAGGAATTTTTCATAAATTGTTTTCACGTGTGACCAAAATACATCTTTATCATGTCACAATACAATTGCAAAATATATATCAATATTTATTCATCATTAAATTAAACTTTATAAAGATGGTAGAAAGTGCGAAAAAAAGTAAATTTTTATTGCTACTAAAAATGATAGAGGTAATTGAAAGGTGTACTAGATTCAAAGTTGAATTAATATTCATTCTAAATATTATGATCAGCTGCACTGACTCTTACCATGCATAGGATAAAAAATGATAAAATTCTCAGCATTTCTTTTTTTATTAAGAGCTTAGGATGTAACGTATTCTCCAGTGTCTTTTTTTATTATGGAATATGAAATTAGGTGCAGTAGTTACTTTTATTGTACATTGTGAAGAGAGAGTGCTAAGCTGCTGGACATAAAGCTTTATGGTAACATTAGATAATAAGATAAAACACTTTAATTTTAGTCAAAATTTTAAGAGAGATCCTTATTCTATTCCAATCAAGGTGGAATTCCAAATTCATAATTTGAACAGAATGAAAGTGCAGTGTCCTAAAAATTGATTTATATGTTCATTTTTTATTAATAGCATGTGAAAGTGAGCTGATCTAAAGTGGCCTTATATATTTAAATCAAATATTTTGAATAATTTTGAGCTCAAGTTAGAGATGTTGAATGACTACTATATTTTCTCTCTGTACTTTGAAATGTAAACATCCATACCATGTAATGAAAGAGTTTTTTCACCAGTACCATTATTTTGACGACACAGATGTCATCAATTTACAACAGCCTGAGAAAATCAGATTTGAAATACAATTTGGGAAGATATTAAAAGTAGATGAGCGAACATAAACTGTAGTAAATCCTGATGCACTCATATCATTATTTCTTTAGGGAAGAGTAAAAATACTAAACAAAAGAAAATTTTAAAAGAGTTAAAACTTGTAAGTAAAATAAAAATCCGTGAGTTGAGAGAACATTTATATTTCTATGATATTATTAACATAAAAATTGAAAGAGTATAGTTAGGAAAATTTTTATGAATTATTCCATTAAAGATTTTTCCCCTGAATTTAAAAATAATGCAATGTAATATTTGGTCAAAAAATCCATGGAAAACAGGTTAGAAAAAAAAATAGGGTGTTCTGGGGACACAGAAGGGTCTATCATGGATGAAAACCTCATAAACAACTTTGCAATTTGCATGAGCACCTTATAAACATGCACATTGATGCAATATACCCATCGATGGGGTTTAATATTTGTGTCCATTGGCATTAAGCAGATGTGTTAAAATACTGATTTAGTTAACAATAACTGTCCATCATAGGATACATGGGAGAAGAGCATATAAGGTTGCATTTCGGCTAATCTGAATAGTGGCTTTTTAAACTATATCTTAAAATGCTATATAAGTCTACTACAGAAGCTGCAATATCCTAGAAATTATACCTGGTAATATTTTGATAACTATGTTAACCTTTTTTTAGTCACATGGATGTTGCAAGAACACAGCTGTGTCTTACAGTAAAGACATGGCATTAAGATCTGATTTTTGTAAAATTAATAAAGGCACAGTCAATGCAGATATTTATGAAAATAGCACAGCTTCACATTAACTCCTGAAGCACTTAAGCATCGCTATTAGTTAACCAACAGGCTTCTACATGTGTCTTAATAACTAATGGTCACAACAGGTATGTACCTAAAACCCTAATGATAATAATAGCTGTTCCCACAGTGCACCTGCTTGAGCCTCACAGGTCTGAGTCTGAATTAGCCCACTTTTACCTAAATAACAGTGTGAATTTTGTCAAGCTGCCTAACCTTTCTGGATCCAAGTGTGCAATTTTCTGGGAAATGAGGCCCCATCTCCCTGTTTCACATGATTGTTCTGAGCAGTAAGTAAAAACGAGCAGCATGAGCAGTGCCTGACAAACGCGAGGGCACAGGAAGAGGTGGCGGCATCAGAATGGCCGCTGTCACTCTGCTGGGACACGCAGACCCCGTGCTTTTCTTGCACCGAGTGATCCCAACAGGTTCACGGCACGTTTGAAATATATATCGGTGTCCTGACCTGACACATAAAGGCATGTATTATCCTGTCCCTGCATATGTCTGTAGCCTCTCAGCCCTTCCAGGGGCATCTTCTAAGCCTCAAACAATCTTCCTCCAAAGATTTCTGTTGTTCATTCCCTCATTCCATTCAGGTCTGTGATCACCTATGGTTTCCTCAGAAGAGTGTACCTGGTCATCGTCCCCCCTGTGGCTCTTGCCCTGCCTTGCTTTTCCCTGAATCACTTAGCCACCTGGAATTATTACATTACATACACTTTTCTTTTTATTGTCTTAATCCCTTATTGGAATGGAAACCCTAAGTGGGCAAGGAATGGTCTGTTTATTTGTTCTTGTCTAAAATTGTTTCTAGCACACAGTAAGTGACCAATAAATATTTCTTAAATGAATGTAATAGTAAATCTCAATCAATACTTCATCATATATAGAAGCCATATTGACTTTTGTTGACTATGAATCTGGTGTTATTTAGTTTTCAGAATAGGTTAGCACTGGGTAGCTTTTGAGTGAAGATTTTTCAAAATATTTCTAGAAATTAAAAAGTTCGGCTTTTTAGCTTGTTCGGACTTATTGATATTATACCTGGAATAAAAAAAGATAACGATGTTATACTAGTCAGTCAGAACGGGTCCTTTGATGATCGAGGTAGAAAGTTTCGTAAGTGCCCAGCAAGTGTGACGAACATGAAAACGTGTTCCATGTGTGAGGACTCCGCTGCTTTCAGCGTACCACGTGATAACCAATGCACTGTTAAGCTTAGAGGGCCACTCAGAACACGCAAAGTAAGCTTCATGTTCTTCTATGTGATATAAGAGGACATTAAACATCAAATGCATTAAAGGCTGGGACTAATTTGAGAGGTCAATGGGGGAAAGCAATATGTGGCTTTTTATAGTTTCAGTTATGTCCATCCTGTCTGTCATCTATTATTTATCTATTGAGAAAAATGGTGATTTATCTATTGAAAAAAAGGGAAATCACCATTTTTCTCAATAGATAAATAATAGATGATAGACAGGATGGACATAACTGAAATACACACATGACTAACATATGAATCACAAAGTCTGTCCTTGGGACCCGTTAGAATCTGTTGCCGCCTTTGTCCCTGGATCTGAGGATGGGAGGCTGACTGGTCTGAAATGCGAGGGA